GAGCAGTCAGACAGACCTTTAACCCAACCGCTCACCAGAATTCGAGTGAAACCGTTCCACGGCATTCAGATGAATTCATGTTAGAACATGGGAAATAATTCAAAGGAGAGGAAGTAAATCATCCCATCCTACATGATGGATATTTATTATATAAATGGCGATAAACCTGGCATCTTGAAGAAACCCAAATCTATTGTGTGATGAAATACTGGCCACTTTGTGGCCACTTTATCTTTAATCGACAGTGAGAAAGTAACCAAGATTCACTCTGTTCTCCATAATACTCCAACTCTGTGAGTGTATTAAGATTAGACGGAAAAGGTACATTGATCATTACATTAGATAGATGGATGATAGATAGATAGATAGATAGATAGATAGATGATAGACAGACAGACAGACCTTTACATGTCCCCTCCCCCAATATGAAACTCTCTTCTATGCCTTATGATGGATGGATGGACAGATGGATGGATGGTTATTCTATCCTGGAGGAGCTTATGCTGAGGTTCTTTATTTAATGCCAAACAACTGTAATTAAGCTAACGATGCTGGCCAGTAATTAGAGTTTAAGTTCAAATTAATGAGAGTGATATTGGCAAGCAGGCGGTATGCTGATATACACAATAACAGAGAGGATGCTGGGGGTCTGTGTGGGGGATGGGAGTTTTTTTTTTTGGGGGGGGGGGCTGCCTGTGCACAAACTGTTTAGTTCTGCTCTGGTTGGCAGCAGCTCCTGCTGCATTTTCCCCATGTAGCATCAGGAATAGCAGCGCCGTGCTAATGGCATTTAATCAAGGCTAGTTGAAGTGAACGGTGAGGGGGGGTGGGTGGCAGTCGGGGAAAAAGAGGGACTAATTTACTGCATTAGTCCTGTTTCCCACGGGGACGGGCACTATTTAGGTTAACGGCACTGGACCTTTTTGCAAAGTGTGGTATAGGGATGGAGACGGCTGTCGAAATGGGGGGAGGCCCAGAAATGGGTAAAAACAGCCACCTCCCCGCCTAGTGGTGCTGTTCATAATGGATGATGCCTCCGGGGCCGGGAGGGGGGGGGGCTTTAAGGCACGGCTCTCTGCCCTTGGAGGGCTGTGTCTCCGTCGGTTTCTGCTCCAAACGTTTCTCCCAACTGTGTTCAGTGATGCCAGTCCAGACCAGCAGAATTAGCAAAGTTTCTCAACACAGTTTCTCAGCCTCAATGTATGACGGCCACGGTGAGTCACGCGGGGCGACACGGCCATCGCACGGCCTGACACGCAGGACGCGTGGCCCTCAGGCGAAGCTGATGCAGGTGAGGTCTTTAAAATAAAGCAATATGTCAATGTGTCAGGTATCACGGTCTCCAAGGAAACGGGAAAGCAGTCAGACATGAGTTCCGGCCAACTGACGGTATCTGTGAGGACTCTGCAGACTCAGGAGGTCACAGAGCCATTAGGGGCTGTCACTGACGAGATGCAGACCCATAACTGACACGAAACTGGACCAGTCGATAAATCGCAGTCCACTCCAGTCGAATCACAGTTGCTGCCTGCACTCCATTGACACAAAATGGCCTTGTGATGTGGATGGGGGGGGGGGGAGTGAGTCCACTGGCTGGCAATGAGTATAATTAATGGCTATGGGTACAGGAAGACCCCAGCAGCGCTATAAAGAGTGGGCTCCATCGTATATCTCCGGGGTCACTGACATATGTGGGGTTCAGTCAATAGAATAGTAAGATTTGGTTTTAATTATATGATTTTGATCATTAAAGGTAGTAAAAACTCATTTATTCAAATCTGATCACTGTATCACGTGCAACCAGCACCTAACCACGCAGAATATAAATGACAGAATATTTCTGTCTGCCTCCGCAGAGTGGGACAATGTCCCAACCTTGGCACTTGAAACCACAGGGCTGCATCCAAGAAGACAGATTTCAGCAAAATAGGGATTTAAACGACCTAATTGTGTCTCATTAGGTTTTTTTTTTTTTTTTTTTACTTTCATTAGAATTCAAAACCTGTGGCCAAATGGTCCATTATTCTGAAAAGCATGTTGTAGAAGCTGCCTTTAGATTTGGATTTGGATACAGGGCCCTGTAACAGTCACGTCACGTTTTTGTAAAAAAAAATTCAGATCCTTTCCATTCCCAGCCGATAGCTGAAGCAAATTAAATGTACGTCAAATTCATTTGGTGTTTGTTCCAAATTTATCATCACTTTGCATCTTTTGCACACGGGCTGAAGATGGAATTCATATCCTCATGCACACTACCGAAAAATAGAAAATCAGTATGTGAGCAGATAATACGGGTCATAATTAGCAACCCATTTCGCGCGTCCATGGGGGGAACACACACAGCAGGCCGTGACTGCGTCCCTGCTGCCTTCACCCCAAGTCACATGACGTCTCATTATATTTGCATAACAAGTCGTCATTGGTTCTGGGGGCACAGTGCCAGGTACAGACACTAGGGGGCTCTGCTTTCCCACTTCTATATTGCTGTAGAACTTAAAATATCACAGCAGCTGAGAGATGAGTGTGTTTGCAGTCACCACCCCCCCCCACCCAAGGGACTCCCCAACCCCTAAATGAAAATATCCACACTTTGTCAACACGTGCCTTCTGTGGCTGAGAATACTTCAGGGACATATAGATCAAAGTCACAGCATTCTCTCAATGTTGTTGCAACCTTGAGGCAACTCACTTCTCCTTGGCAATTAAAATTAAATTTGACAAGCACAATGTGACAGAAAGTGCTGTCTGTATTATGGGCTGGACGTACCTAGCACGTCAACCTTCCTGTGCTTCTGCTCGGCTTGGTGGTCGGAGCGGTGCGGGGGGGGGGGGGCAGGGTGTATCTTTACAAAGCTTTTCACCCGCGAGCAGACTGTCATGGGGGTGAACGGAAACGCAGATCGGCATTGACAGGTCACGGCCGGCGCGAGTGTCACTGTGGCAACCGGACGGACGGCACCAGTGCCCCACTCGGCACTGGTATTTATGGGAATCCTCATCGACATCCCATCCGAAGGTTCTGCCTTTCTCACGCTGGACAATCTGAGCTCCATTCAACAATCATCTCAGTATAGCCACCCCCCCAACTCCTGAGCCAAGGCGCGGAATCGGCGCAGGCGCTGTGTGTGCGTGCGTGTTCCTGCCTGTTAGGTCATCTCTTATTCCTTTTTTCTGAGAGTGAGGACCCTCCCCTGTGCCATGAATCATGATGAGAGGGTCCTATTCAAGGTCTGGGGGTGTCAGTCTGGCATGGGGGGAACACGGTGCGTTTTGGCAGTGTTGTCACGGATCTGCACCACCCCCCCACACACATACACACACACACACACTCTCATGCCCTAGAGGGCTCAAATAAGTCCCTTTCTGTGTGAAGACTACAGGGGGAGAGTTAAGGGGTGTCTTTGAAAAGCTCAATAGAATCCTAAGCTCTGGTTCCCAGTGAGCTCGATTTGAGAAAGGCACTTCAACAAGGCTTCACTGCTGGGGGGTCACTTCCTATTTCCTCTTGGGGTCGTCCTGGAGACACACAGAATTATCTGTGTTGCACATGAGCCGCTAGGTAATTGGCAACCTTTGTCGGGACCAATCAGGTGACCAATCAGGTGACCAGTCAGGTGACCAATCAGGTGATGGGACTGTGTGCTGGGAAGTGGAAAATTCCAAGAGACACATAACCTCTGCAGGACTGTCACTGAGCTGTCATGTGTGTAACATCTGCCATCGGGCGTGCGGCATCTGCGGGGATAAATTCACGAGTGACGCTACACAATTAGCCTGGGAGGCACTAAAACCAGCTCAGAGCCTTCGTCTCATCTAATGCACAAGAACACCAGCTATCCATACTGACAAAATGGAGTTAAATGTTTTTTAAAATGTTTTTTTTTTATATAGAACTGTACCAGGGAACCTTGCCTATTAGCGCAGAGACCAGATGTGGGCTGTCTCAACACATGTGTTGTTCAGCATGCTATAAATAAATGGAGCAAACAAATCATCATTGTGGCTTTAAAATGACCAACGGCGATACAAGAACCGGGTATTTAACCCAAATGTGTTGTTTTCAAGCCCAGAGGGTGAAACGCCAAATGTTACCTAATTTGATTTTAAAAATAATACAAATGGGTAGAACTGTAAGCCAATCTTGCTGTTCTGAATAAAATCTCAACCCCCGCAGTGCGTTGGGGTAAGTTGGCCACCTGTTTTTTGTCTCAGTTTGAGAGCTTCAGCTCTGAAAAGGCAAATTAGTGCCCTGTAGTCTCTAAGGATCTTTAAATGACCAATCCAGGCCAGGACACCCACTCATGGGTTGAGCCCACTGACACTATAGCCTAAACAGTCATCGGTGGACACATTAACATTGAGTACGGTCTCTACAAACCACAGGGCCTGCATAAGTTATACACAGACTACTACTGCGAATGAGTATAATATCGTGATATGCATTTATTTGCACTGATGCTTAGTGGACAGTAAGGACACCACTGTTTGATAGACAACGGCGAATACATCACTGGAGTGGAGAGCACTGGGTATTCTGGGTAATGCTGCTCTCCTGTTATAGTGGGGGAGGGGTTACGCTAAGGTTTGACATAACTGAAGTACAGGGCTGCCTGCAGGTGCAAAACATTCTAGCTGCAAAGGAAGCTTCCAAATTCACAGGAAAGGAATGGGTAATCTGCTGAAGAATTTTACTTAATAATCTGCTGGTTCGTGCTGTAAAATGTGTTAAGGACAATTACAGGCATTATATACTTTAAACTAGTACATTACTGGTACAGTTTAAAAAGGAAATTTGGGGTCTGAGTTAGATGCCATGTCCATCACCACACGCTCAGTCAGATTGGGCACCATTTTTAAGACGGATCGTCGTCATTTGGCTCCCTGAAGTACGTTAAAATGAGGGCGAGCCTATTGATTCAATGGCACTATTCTGCAACTACGGGGGGGGGGGGGGTTGGACGGAGGAGAGTGAGAGCAGGAGCAGCACCCCCCCCCCTGGAAACGCGCACATACACCGCCGGTCCCCCTAGCGAAGCGTCGAAGAGGCGGGCGGCGCTTGTCGGGCTCTCGCAGCGCTGGGTCCTCCTTCCCTGCGTGTCTTCACACCGTTCCTGCGGCCATGGCACCTCGGCGGAGCGGGCCGATGTGAGCGCACCGCGCAGGGGACAGCGGAGCACTGCAATGCACGGCAGATGAGCGGTGATGGCGATGCCCCGAAAAGATTTGTAACTTATAAAGAAAAGGACTCGCATCTATACAGTCTGTACTAAACACACGGTACTTTAGATTAAGAGGGATCGTACTTTTCTTGTTCTGTTTTAAAACACCACTGAAATCAAGAATGGGCAGCGGGAAAACACGCTTTTATTTGGGATGTTGGGGACTGTCTTTAGTCCTGTGCTTGATCCCATTGTGTGCACACGGTAAGTAAACGCTTTACTATGATTATTGGAAACGGTGAGTAGTTTGCACAGTATAAGTAAAGAGCCGCAGCGTTCAGTGACTCCGGTGCGGCTGATCATTTAGGGAGGGGGATGCAGCGACGTGAGGTAAACCTGGTGCGGGGATTTAAACATCACATTTTAGTTTACCGTCTCTGATTTTAATTCCCGCGGGTTGGAGAATAATATCACGCCACGCGCTTTGATGCAAGGAGCGTATTAATTAAATGCCTTTATTGCATTTTAGTGGGAAGGCAAGATTAACACCGCTTTTGCCGTGCAAATTGGTGTATTTTGTCAGTTTTGACATAGGTGACAGCATGCGAGGTTGTGGGGTTTCTTTGCTTTCCCTCCCGCGGTGTGTTCCGCTTGGGGTCCACGCATTCCTACACAGACGGCTTTGCTGGGGACATCTGGATGTCACCGACACGCTGCGGTCCCTTCTCACCTCCAAAGGGAACACAATTTCCTCCCACCTTTCCCACCTATGCAGTTTCTTCTCTGTCAGGCTTTTCACTTACCGTTCGCGGTGTTTAACCTAATTGCGGGCAATTATACTAGATGGCTTCGTGCCCCGTGCAAATAAAGGTGTTTTAAAATATACTGTAATGCTATTAAGCTAATAAACAGTCAGATACCGTGGGAGACACAAGCGGGGGTGGCGGGGATCTTCATATCTGTAGTATCGTGGAACCCCGTTTTCTGCCAGGTAGCCAGACAGCTCAGCCCACTTCCGATCAGCCGGTTAATATTCAATTTGAGGCGGATCGACGGCTTGCAGCCCCGGGTTGGTGGGCAGCCGTCCAACCGGCGGGAATCTGCGCCGCTTGCGCACCGCCGCCCAGCAACAGGACGCTGGATGTGGAGGCGCTGCTTCGCACCTGCGCTCAACGCTCCTCATCCGTCAGATGAAATGTCAGTATGAGCAGGATCCCAGACGGTGCACAGCTGAGGGTGCGGTTCCAGTGTGTCGCAGAGTATGTTAAATGAAGCGTCGAGCGACACACCAGTAAAAGCCAACACCTCAACCTTCATCTCCATCTTTGTACTGAACCCCAATGTTCATTTTCCTTATTATTTTCAAGCCATCATTCACATCTACATAGCGGTAGGAATAATGTCAGCGTTTAATGTCAAGTGTAAATGGTTAGCAGCTGAATCCTTCCTGCACAAGAACAAAACTCTCCAATTGGTCGCTGACTTACAACTGGTAATTTTGATATTTAATTGCCAGCAAACTGTAAGGCAATATGGAGAGTCTTACTAGAGGGTTTTGGGCACAGTGACAGATTGAGGGCAGAAGACAGACACTGTCTTAGCCTCTGTGAAAATGTAATGAGCTGCGGATGAGTGAGGGGTTATATTCGTGTCAGTTAGCATTGTGTCACTTTGGTGATTAGGGGAGACCCAAAGGAGGTGTGTTCGCTTATGTCACCTTCCTGGGCACTGGTATATGTCTGCAGGGTGTCTGTGTGCCTGCTTCTGTCCACCAAGGCGGTACCTGTATGTGGCACTCAGGCACCAGGGAGGGTGGGGTGTACCAGTGCAGCACAGAGGGTCGATGGAGTGTGACATGGCACCCCTGTTGGGCCCATAAAAATGGTTCAGTCCTCTTCCTATGATGGGAGATAGGAGCAGCACTATGAACACATGAATCGTCAAATGATTGCAAACTCTGGGCGAGTGTGGGTGTTTTTAGCATTCATTTTTACCTTTATATTTAAATATAGTTTACAGTTCTTTTCCACGGTTTAGACTGCTGGATATTTTACTGGAACAATTCGGATTCAGGACATGGAGCAAGAGTTACCACAGCTAGTTTCCTCCTACGACTCGAATGAGCAACCTTTGTGTTATGATTTCATTTTCAGATCAGCTTTGTTAACCGCTGGGTAATATGAATCACCAATATTTTGCTGAAAAATCTTGATTTTTATGTCTTTTTGCATCAAAAACAAAAGTATGGTGACGCTTACAAGCTGGCTTTCGTGCAGACGTTATGTTCTGGCTCATCGCCATGAAGCTAACAAGAGTGTTACACTGGGGAGGATGGTGCATGTTCTTTGCATGTTTCCATATTGGGTATGTGAGCTGTCACAACAGCTCTCCACATATATACAGTCTACATTTGACATAGTCCAGTTCAGTCACCTTAGACCAAAGTTAACATTCCTCAGGTGTTGATAATTACAGCAAACTACAGATATTATAAGAACATAGTTCGTATTTCTCAAGACTTTTGTGAAGCTGAGAACGTCAACAGATCAAACAAGGTCTTGTGATGTGATTCTGGTGAGGCTGACTGATATACTGTAGAGATTGAGCTGTCTATAGGGAGACCTCTTTCAGAATTTACTCCACAAGCATGTTCTGACTTGACTATTGTTCCTAATTTAGTATTTGCTTTTGTTTCACTGCCTCTAGGGTTAGGTTCATGTCCGATGTCCCACACTGAAATACGATATCATAAGCTGTCCGTGTATTACTGCAAGAACACCCCATCATCTGTGACTATCCTCAGGTGGTTGGTTAGGCAGGAAATGGCTAATCCTTAAGAGAGTCTAACTGCAAACATGACCACACAAGTGGATTGGTTCTTTGTAAGGAAATACTGGTTTATCTCTTCCCAATATGCTCACCAGAAATTGATGTGTCGCACAAAGCCCCTTTAAACTCTGAAATGTCCACCACAGTGTTGCAGGATGACTCTGGAGCATAAAGGGTGAGTCCTTAGCTCTGATTGTTCTACATAAATGATCCCATATATGCAGAATGAACGAGAAGATCCTTGCCTTTAAATAGCTGTTGAATCGATGGTCCTCGGACTATTTGGAGGAAAACAAACTTGATATTTAAAGAAGCTTCATCAGTGGAGACCTCTTCCAAGTAAGTGATGTCAGGACATTGGCTGCGATTCTGGCGCACAGACGCGCCCTTGCATTCCTTATGTCCCCTCCCAGGATGTAGCTCCATCCTGGCACAGACGTCTTCCATAAAAGTCCCACGGAGAAGCCCTCACGCCGACTGCCTGTTGCGAGCAGCGCACCACAAAGGAAACCCCAACATAACCTGGCGGCATCGCTGACTCCTCAGTAGCCGGTCCAAGATCAGTCATGCCAGTTCTGTATGTGCCCCCCCTGCCTGGCTGGCATCTGCCATTGAGCCGAACCATGTACCCACACCCTCTGCGGGGAACACCACAAAAGCAAACGACAAAGCCAGAAGCCTGGAGTTTACAATCTCAGATGCTGTAACCAAACTGTGTTATCCTGTTGTTCTTTTTTGAAAGACCTCTTTCATCTTCTCCTTTTCTGATTTTGAGATCCCTCCCCCCCACCCCATACAAGCCTAGAAAAAAAGTGGCGGATCTCGATGGAGCAGAAAGCAAACCCAGCAGCCTTTATCTTGTCATTTGTGCAAGTCCCTACCACTTTAACCTGTGTCTCTTGTGGGACAGCTTAATGCGTGGCACTACCAGAAAACAGACCTGTAACTCTATCGCTATACCATTGATCAAGGTACTTGATACTGGTGGGCAGTATGATGATAATTTATTGTGACCACTTGTAATTCCATGATAAGCGTTTAAGAGTTATAGCAGGAATCGCCATACAGCACTACTTAACACTATAATTATAACGACACAGGATGCCTGTGTGTTTGGAGGTTGTGAGAATACTACAACAAAAACAGGTTGTTGTGAAACAGAGTGTAACATCTCAGTGCTGCCTGTATATCACATCTTTTTCAGTTATCTGTCTTTGTGGATCTCAGCTTAGTGAATCGATCTTGAACTAAACTTAATCTTAGCTGACTTGGTTAAAAAAATAAAACTTATATACTTTCAGACTGCTAAAAATATTTCATTTGTGTCAAGCAAAAAACAACATGTGGTTCATTTTCGAAGTACACAGAGTGTACTAAGGGTCGAGCAAATCATTGACAAGGGCCAAATCATTAAGGCCATACTACTGGGTCAGAGCATCTCCGAAACTCCACGGCTTGCGGTTGTGATGCGTATTCATGAGCTCCCCATAAGTCTTGCTGTATCGGAGATGCTCTAGCCCAGTCATCTGTCCACAGTGATCTGGCCCTTGTCAAAGTCACTCAGATCTTCATCCCTGCCCATTTCCTCTGCATTCCACATTTCGACTACGAGTACCGAATGTTAGCTTACCATCTACACGCACCATTTTTACGAGATATTCAACACTGTTTGCTTCATATGGGAGTGATCTTAGTGGTTTGACTTGTCACTGAACATTCCAATTTGGTTGCTTTCTAAACAAACAAACAAGCAAACAAAAAAATGTGATCTGTATCGTGGATCATGATTCTAACCAAAATTTATCACCTATAGTATTCAATCCAAAACACTCTAGTATAAAACTAGACAAATGTAGACTAAATGAGTAACTCAGTGTTAGTTTTTTCAGTGGTTGTAGTTTTTAATCCCCTAAGTGAATTATTAGTGTGTTTTTTCTGTGAATTATGGGTGAAGGATTATGGGTCCTACTTCTTCTGACACCAGGAAAAATCCTGATTGGTTAATGATGCCAGTTAAGGAAATTTACAGCCACTCTAACGCCCTCTGCGTGTAATATATTCACATGCATTCTGACACTTAAAAGGCTAATCGATTGTGCTGAGTAGGTAATAAACTCCCCTTGGAGTGGCAGCTTAATTAGGATACCCACCTCCTTTTCTCTATAGCTGTCTACCGCGTAGGACTGTTGCCAATAGATTCTCGGCATTTGGGTGGAAGTCACTAATTTTGTCTTAAATAAGCTCAAGGATGACAGGCACCTTAATACGGCCTCTGTGGTAACTCTCACAAGCTTGGTAAATTCTGGGAATGGATAGATATGAAGCAGGCCCTTCGAATTTCCTGTCCCGATCCAAAACGTGCCATGATACTTTCCTGTTTTTTGGCCATACTCCAGATAGTCTTAAACACTCTGTTTATCTAGCATGATTCCTCAGCCAGCTAGCTGCATATTTTCCATCACGTACAACCTGAAGGCGAGCAGATGGGTACAATTATGGCCCCGCTCTCTTTCTCGCCATGCTTCAGCAGGCTTCAGAATGGAGAGCTGAGGTTTGCACTAAGCAAAGGGAGGTTAATAAAGTCTGGGAGAGGGAGCCTCAGCCTCTCACCACGTTTTTTGCCGGCGAGTGATACGACGCAGTGAAGCGGTAAGAGGCACTCGTGCGCGGCCTGCACCGATTGTCTTGGCGTAAAGGACGTGGCGATGGCCTGTTCCCGCCAGACCAATCGTGGCAGGGGTGCGCTCGATGAATTGAGGGGGTGGCTGAAAGAAACGTCAGAGGGGGGTGTCGCACGGCACCTCCAGTGGCCTCGCTGACGATGTCAGGAGAATGAGCCAAGCAGGCCAAATGAAGGGGAAAGGGGGGGCGTCTCTTCACGACAGGAAGCAGACAGGTGGAGGACGAGAGGACACATGATCACTGAAGCGGGAAGCTTGGTGTTTATTAGCACCAATTACTGACAGTGGCTTCGTCTACTTTCTCAACAGGTGCATCCAAGACATATTGTCTTGCCTGTAAGAACAAAAGAAATTTACAAACGAGAGGAGGCCATTCGGCCCATCAAGCTCATTTGGGGAGAATTTAACTAATAGCTCAGAGTTGTTAAAGTCTTATCTAGCTCTGGTTTAAAGGACCCCAGGGTTTTAGCTTGCGCTACACTAACAGGAAGACTGTGGAGGTTCGACGTCCATGATAATTTGTGAACGGGAATGATGGCTTCCCCTTTAGGATGGAAAAGCCTCTTTTCAGCATATAGTAATTAGTTAGTTATCAAACATCCAAAGCCTCCATGTTAGCAGCTGTCATGGGTTTTTGCTTGCTTGCTCTCCCCGCCAGCCGCTCTGTCCCTGCCGTTTGTTTTACAGCGAGACTGTAAGCAGAGGGCTCTGAACAGGGATTAACCCAGAAACGCTCCACAGAAAGGGTCACTTTGCCCAGATTGGTCAAAAACAAATGTGATTCTCTCTTTCTTGAAACTTTTTTTTTTAAAGGGACACTCAGAATGTAGTTGGGACTCACTTTTCCAGGCTTTCACAAGAGAAGGACGTCATATTTTAAAGACTGAGAGGTAACACTGGGTTGTGTTTATGTTTCACGCATTTGTTTTCACACTGTGGAAAATTCTTAGACTGAGTTTGACTTTGACGCTCCTTTGTGTACAGGAGGCCTTAGTTACACCAAAGCATGAAGACAGTTTGTACTCTAAACGTCAAGCAAATGATGCAATATCAGGGAAACTTCTGACTGGTGTGTCGTTGCTGAAAATGGTCGAGTGGTGATATATACTTACTTCCTGCTGTGAGATCTCAGGGAAGTTTTGACTGAGACCTTCTCTCAACCCTGCCCCCCACATAACCCCCCCCCCCCCATGCCAGCAAAGAAACATTAGTAAATTGGCAAAATTAATCCACTGAAGCAGCTTTGGAGATCAGCAGGGCCGCTCTGGGCACACAGTTAAGTGGAGACTAAGGCGATCGGCCCTCTGTCTCCTAATGTGTTTTGTCTTGTCTGAGTGACTTTTTGTCAGTCCCAAGTTGGCTGTGGGGTCTGTTCCTTACTTTAAGATGGGCCTCCTTAAAAGATCCAAGGTTTAGTCTCAGCAGGAAGTCCTGCTACTGGCTGAAGCTGGCTGAGAAGGAGCCGCTTACAGAAAGAGGACAAGGCATGGAAATGCAGCTTCGAAGCTACAACGATCCTTTGTGTCCCCTAATTGCACATAGCGGGTCAAAACAACAACAAACAAAGCATATTTTGTGATCAAAGTGGGATTTGTTTTTACTCCGGATTAAAGCATTTACCTATAATCTGTTGTGTAAAACCTTCTCAGCTCCCATTTAAAACATTTATTATGGATCTTACCACAGCAGTCGTGCTGAAGCATAATATCTTATTGTATATATGAAGGGCAGGCAGCCTGCTAACCAGAATGGCGTCATTTTCAGGGATCTTGCTTGAGGCCAACGTCACTGAGACGGGAAGCCAGGCAAACTCGTCCCGGGCCGCACGCAGGCCCCGTGGCTGGGAGGAGGCCGGTAGCGGGATGATGGGGGACAACGTGCTGGGCCCCGACGGCAGCCCCAACGTGGCAGAAGACGACCACCTGATGTCAGCGGCGATCACCGAGATGCCGCCGTCTCACACCCCGACTGGCATCCCGCCCGAGAGGGACGAAGAGCCCATGCTGGACCTGGATGACAGCCGTACCCCGCAGCAGTCTGGCCCCCTGCCCGTGCAGCCCCACCCGGTGGTCTTCACCGTGAGCTACACGGACCCCGAGCTGCAACAGAGAGAGCTCCATCCCTCAGCCGCAAAGCCTACCACTCACGAACTACGGGGAGTAGAACCCAAGTCCTGGCTGACTAACATTTACGGCTACTTGGATAACTACTCCACCACCAAGCCCTACGGCGAAGACGACTCTGTGTCCACCACCGACATGATGGACGAAAACCTCCTGCACTCCACTCCGCCATCGGTGCCCGTGTACCCCCGCGGTCCACGCCCCATCTCTCCTGTTGACACTCTATCCAGTGGGTCTGGAAGGAATGAGGTTCCTCGACACCCTCCGAGCAGCACCAGCACCAGCGGGTCCGACTGCCGGCTCGGCTACGTGACAAGCAACGGGACCTGCCGCTCGCCATGTGACCTCTTCCCCAGCTACTGCTTCAACGGTGGCCAGTGCTATCTGGTGGAGGGCATGGGCATCTTCTGCAGGTAAGGGCTTCAAGGTCTTTCATTGGCTTTGCGACAGATCAGGCAGGAAGGGGTTTTGCAGTGCCAGTTGGCAGAATGACATCACATGAGCTTCATGGTGTGGAATGATTTCCACATTCTTTAGCTTCTAATAAACTTGCCGAACCTATCCGAACTTTGCAAAAAGAAAGGAATTAAAGTCTAGCAGGGACCTCATGCAGGGACTGAATCTGAATGGGCAAATAGGATTTCACTGCACTGAGCCAAGCAGTGTAGACAGCAAGGCCCAGACCTGTGTTCTGAGGTCACATCCCAGTGGAGAGCTCGTCTAATATGGGGGGCAGGATTGGATTAGACAAGATTATATCATCTGTGGGAGTGGGCTTCAGGTCTCCCATTTCCTCTGGAAAAGCCAGATTGCATTTGAGTCCCCCCCCCACCACAGTACAGACACACACACACACACACACACACACACACACACTGGCCTGTAACCCAAAGGTTGCTGGTTAAAGTTTTGTTGTGGGAATTTGCTGTCGTGCTCCCAATTAAGGTTTGTCTGGTGGTAAAAATGGGTTTGACAGTAAGATGGTCTTGATAACACTCTCAGTTGTATCACTCATTAATGGTCAGGAAGCAGACAGATAGAGGAATGATGAGGAATGTTCTGGAATTATGTGGCAACCCGCGCCTCCCCCACTACCAGCGTCACACTCATGCACATTTGCCGACTGCACCTTGCATTGTTCAGGGCAGAAGTCATTTGCTGGTAAGAACATGACTGAGGGACACTGATGGTAATACTGGCAATTTGTGTGTATGTGTGTGACTGAGGGCTGGATAGAAGGCCACCAGTGGTAGGTGTCTCTGTCTGTTCCCAAGAAGAGTCTGCAGTGGTTGGAGGTAACCTGAGTGGGTTTCCATGGAGACGATGGGAAGGAGGGATTACTGCATGCAGTCTGAGAACTTGCGTGTCAAATCACTGGCGAGAGAAACGGCTCTATCTAGGAAGGCTTCAGCTCCTGTGAGTCCACTGTGTCTGTGCTGATAATCTGTGATGATAATCTGTGATGATAAGGTCACTTGTGTGCCCTCTGTCCATAGTGATGGAGTAGCATAGCGTGCTCATACTGTCAAGCCACAAAGTCGACTTCCGTCAGTGATCTGGTGTACTGACTGGTGCTACAGTCAGAAGATCCCCTATCTGAGATCTGTAGCAGGACTATGAGTTGAGCTTGTAGCTGCCAGTTGTTCCTTGTACGGCATTTTGGGAGCCAGCCCAATTCTCCACAAACCTCATAATTAATCACGCACACGGTTCATTTACATTTACTGAGCTGTTATTTACAATCCCAGAGAGAATTTGTAGAGGAAATGTAGAACAGGAGAGAACATGTCTGACTGGCATACAGAACACACACACACACACACACACACAGAGTTCCAGTCATAACTCAGGGCTGAGAAGCACGTGGCCCCCTTCAGCCCCCATACCGTCACCTGGGGGCCCTCTGTAAGTGGCTGGGATTAGATTATGTTCTTACCGACAGACCGTGGATTAGTTTCAAAATATAGTTAATAATGGATTATGCAGGAATGGGGAGCGACTGTTTTGTGGGGGGGCAGTTCCCGTCACCTGGGGTAAGCCGCCAAGCTTCATCAACCCTGTCAACAATGTTACTCCTAATTTCCATCTACTCATTAAAAATAAAAATCAGTGGGAGTATGATCACCAGATCGCCACACAATCTTTTCAGGTGCCTCTGGGTGACTCAGTTGTGAAAGGTGCTGTGTAGAAATAAATTGAATTTAATAATGAGTATTTAATTGAGTATTTAATTTAATTAAGTCCCGATGAAACTGTTGTTCACTACATTGATTTAATGTTGTGGAAACTATATGGGATCGGTATCGACGCCGATCCAGGCCTATTTGAAGGATCGGGTATCGGAAAACACCACTAAACAACTTGCACACAATTGTGCAAGACAATGCAAGTAATATGAAGAAAACAAGGGATGGTTTGGGAGTCGCTAGCTTGGGCTGTTCTGTACCGGAGGGGCTGTGATCGCAGTGAAGTGTAAGTGACGATGTTGACGATGTTGTTGTGTATAAAAATTGGATCGGAACTGAAAAAATGTGGATCGGCCCGCCCCTAATCGGAAGATAGTTTTGTGCCCCGAAGTCCAGTCCAATCACTGAAGTTCCTCCTGGCGTTGCTTGATTTCTTGTATCCCCCCTTCTCTCCCACCCCCTAAAGCGCTTTATTCCTTCCCCCCCCCCCCCCCCACCCCCAGGTGCAATGTGCAGGACTACATCTGGCACAAGGGGTCGCGCTGCGAGTCGGTGATCACGGAGTTCCAGGTGATGTGCATCGCCGTGGGAACCGCTGCCCTGCTGGTGCTGTTGCTCCTCATGATCACCGTCTTCTTTGGCAAGAAGCTGCACCTGCTGAAGACCGAGAACCACCGGCTGCGCAGACGCAGGTGCGACTGGGGGACGGGCCCATGCCTGCGCGGGGCCGGGGACATGCGGTGCATGGGTGGGGACAGGCAGGGAACGCAGGCAATGAGGGTGGGCGAGGAGGGGTAGGTGGAGGAAGGGTGAGGTATAGGGGAAAAGAAGAATGCGGAAAAGGAGGGATATGGTGTCTAGGCGTGGGAGAGAAACGCATGGAGCAGAACTGGACAGAACAAGAAAGAGTACGGCAGAGGTGTGCAAAGGGTAAAAGGAACTGTGTGAAGCAGGAGCGTCAAATCACTAAGGTAAGGATGATGATGGAACAATGAAGATGCTATCTGGTGTGAACACAGAGCTGTGTGTGTGTGTGTGTGTGTGTGTGTGTGTGGAAGATAACCTAGATATGGCTCTGTGTCTGTTGGAGGTCAGGTCTTGGAGCAGTTCAGGGAGAGAGAGATTCCTCATCCATGCCGCATGTAGGAGGCATGTGGATACATATACATTTACTGGGCTGTTATTTACATATTACACACTGACATGCTCATCACTGCATGCCTCGCAGGCTACAGAATGAGTGACGATAGTGGACAGAGACCCAGAGGCCTCTGAAAAGGCTGCACTTTGAGGCGGACTCAGAAAAATTATTAGCTGCTTTAGTTGTTCTTTTCTTGTCCAGTTAATTTAAACGAGGCCGTCTCCCTGCGTACGACCCACAGATCCACTGACTCTGTTTCACTTTTTTTTCCCGCTTTCTCTCTCTCTCCCCCCCTCTCTCTCTCTCTCCCCCTCTCTCTCTCTCTCTCTCTCTCTCTCACCCCTGCAGCAGTAAGCACCGCCCCACGTCGGAGCAGCACAATGATAATTTCTCACTGTCCACCATCGCTGAGGGCTCCCACCCAAATGTAAGGAAACTGTCTTCCCCCTCCCCCGCCATTCCCCATGCTCGCGCTTTGGCTTACTATGATGACATTATCTGTCAGGTAACGTGCCTCTCGTCTCTGTTTCTCTCTCTCCCTCTCTCTCTCTCTCTCTCTCTCGCCCTCCGTGCGGGCTTGCATGTCCTCCCTGGAGTTCTCGCTCCCTCTCCGGGGCGAGCCCGCCCCCTAACACGGGTATGGGTACAGGGCTGGGCGTACTGCCTCCCCTGTGCCACTAGCTATAACGCCGTTCACCAAATGGGCCTCGTTCCGAGCTCCTGTCATTAATGCTGGCGTGTCCCCGGCCCGCCCCTGCTACACTGGTTGGTGGGGCCGAGGACCAGAACCATCCCGGGCTCTGGTATTCCCAGTTGGATGTTGCTGGCGTGCTGCCCGGACCCCCCATCCCATTCCTAGATTAGATGCAGTTTACTGAAACTGCATTGATGTAGGGCTAAGGCTACATCAACCTGGCACATGGCCATGCATCCGAGTTTCATTGGCAGCCAGGAGGGGCCATCTTAGCCCCCCCCCAGGGCTGTGGAAACTCACACCCATTGGTCACCCAAGCAGTAGAAACCGGCGAAACTCCCCTCATCTCAGTGTGTGCCAGCCTGCCCCTGGAGAGACGCCCCGCCTCCTTTGCATGTGATGCTGTTCTACTTGTGTGATTGGTCGCCCAGGGCCCCTCCCTCACCCGCTGGCTCTGGGGCGCACTGCGTCTGGCTTGTGTCACCGCCGCCACTAGCATGCCCGTCCGTCTGCCTCGCCGGTTGTTCCTGATCTTCCGCTTGATCGTGGGTCGATGGCTGGGACTCGATAATGAGGGCGGTTTGGAGGGTGGGGTGGATGGGGCTGGGAGGGGGGGGTGGGCGGGACACTGGGGGAGGCATCACATGCTGATCCCACAGAGTATCCAAGGTGCTGCACCACACCTTGCCCCCTCCCTTCTCCCCCAGACTAAAAAAAAATTCTAACGGTCAACAGAGAGGGCGCTGTAGAGCAGCCTCACCAGACCTAACACAAATGTAGTTCCCTGCCTGGTCTGGTACTGTTCCTCCGGGCCCCAGGGTACAGCTCGGCATTGTCTGTTCTGGATTTGGGTTCCATACCTCGGTCCACCTCACTTCTGCTGGTAATATGGTACCAAGTTCTACCGGTTATGACCATGCTGTGAACCGTGGATCAGGAGGACAGACCAAAATGGATCAGCCAGCTTCTCAAACAGCAGGTGGAGAGCCCCGGGGGCCTCGTTCTGACCATCAGGGGCCCAAAAACAGGACAGCACCAGATCTGAGAGGGGTACCGATATGGTGCCAGGCAGGGTGTGAGACACAGACCATGGCACACAAAATGAATATCCAGAGGAACCTGAAGAATTCCATTAAATGCAGCAAAACACTACTGACATATGGTTTGTTACTCGGTGAGTAACAAATACACGCAGCTGAGTAACAGCTGGGGGGGGGGGGGGGGTACATGTTTGCAGATGAGCTAGAAAAAAAACCAGCAAGGTTGTTGCCTTGGTACCTAAGGACAGCAGTCATGTTCAGTCCAAAGGACGTGTTGTACAGGATTTGGCGGAGTCAGGCACCGTGTGCATACATACATACAGACACACACACAGACACACACACAGACACACATACAGACACACACACACAAACACACACACACAGACACACATACATACACACACACAAACACACATACATACACACAGACACACATACATACACACATACAGACATAAAAACACACACACAAACACACACACACAGACACACATACATACACACACACAAACACACAGACACACAAACACACACACAGACACACATACAGACACACACACAGACACACACACAAACACACACAGACACACACACAGACACACACACACACACACACACACATACAGACACACAGGCGCTGTGCACCACCCCCTGTCATGGATTCCTTTCCTCTCTCTCCCCTTTTCTCTCTGAATGATGTTATTTATTCTCGGGGAATTATAACCCTGTCCCAAATGCCCACCCCCCCAGAAAACTATGAACAGATACACCTGGGAGTTTAAGACCAAAGAGGAGCCCACCGACGAGGTAAGACCCCCCCCCCCATTCTTCAGACCCTCACCTTAGGCCCGGATGGCTATTTCTGTTCATTGTTCCGTTACCATGGAGACCTTGAGCAGCCCCTCGACCCTGAGTGTCAGTCTGTTGGATCATCATAACCCTGTTGGAAAAATCGAGCCAATCAGCAGTCCCCCACCACCCGCCTCCCAACATGACCCCCCCTGTGGTCCACTTCAGGTTTATAAACCTTCTAGCTAAGATTTAGGACATCCTGAAAAGACCTAACCAAAATGATAGTTATACCAATGGGATATATTTCTTTAAAATATTAAGCATATAAGTAAAGTAGAATGTAAAATGTAGGAAGGTAAACATCTTAACTTTTGTATCCCATCCGGTTCATGAACTTTACTCTGTATCCCTGACAGTGAAGCTTCACAGATGTTCGGTGAAGCTTCACAGATGTTCGGTGGAGCTTCACAGATGTTCGGTGGAGCATCACAGATGTTCGATGAAGCTTCACTGAATCACTGGGACTATCATATACTGTAAATAGGGCCTTTTAGCCTTTAGCCTAGCTTCGGCCTAGGAGACAGCAGTCAGACCTTTAATGGGTTTACCAGCACCTCTCTGGTATCATTCACGCAGAGAGAGCAGGTTTCACTTAAAGGGCTCTGGTCCCACCCTGAGCAGTTGTGGTCTTTCCCTTCTGTTTCTACTTTCAAGGAGCAGATTGTCTTGATTGGCACAGATCAATATGGTGCCAGAAGGGAAGGAAAAAAAAACGCGAATCTGTGCTAGACTCCAATCCCCAGCGACCTTCACACATCCTGTATGGCGTAGCTGGTCGATATCAGACACTGTGCCCCCCGCGCTTTGTTCAACAGCTCCGACCCAGTTTGCAGGGCTGGTAAAGGGTTGATCCAAGTACCAGAATTGGAGATCATTGGGCCCTGCTTGCCTGGAGCATAAACTGTTTTGCTCTGGGGTGGTCTGTGAATGGGGGTGTACGTAGACCCTTCCATATCCCTAATCTGGGGGGGCCTGGACCCCCTCTTTCCCCTGGCTGTTTGAGTTTCTGTTATGCCAGAACAGCAATCGTAGATGGTCACGCAAATCCATTATTGAGAATCTCACTGCTATGGTGGGAGATGACTGGTGTGAGGGTATCAGAACAGGCTTAGGATCTTTGTAATACCTGTTCTCAAGAGGAGCACCAGCAGGATGCAGACCATTCATGCAAGAACTTGAATCAGGGTGATGAGATCCAACCATCTAAAGCTCGGGAAACAGGGTGACAGCAGGTCCAACCGTGGGCCGTTAGCTGTTTTCTGCTCTAAGTACCTCCTTCACAGGACACCACTGGTGAGAACCAATCACTCTTGAGTCCAAAGTAAGTCATAAACTTTGGAATGGGTTGCATTTACATAAAGGTTATGCAATGTTCCACATCCGCTCTCTACATTCCTGGGTTGTTACTGGAATCATGTGATTTGACCAGTTTAAACAATTGATTGGCTCCATAGATTTTAGGCAACATTTTTTGGTTACTTCCCCAATAATCCAACACATAATTGGGTGTCTTTATAAACCCAGCACACCATCTCCCATTATGACCCCCACGCTCCATGTGTAGGGATCACTTATTTACACCAACTTTCACCAAACCTCCTGTTGACACCGAAGCAGAATGCATGACGTTTTTTTCATCAGCCAAATTCCAGCCATTGTGCTTGAATTAGTCATCCCAGTGAAACCTGCCTCAAACCTGAAATCAAAGCTTCCCACTCCAAACTCTACCATGGTATCCCAGTAGCAGTGTAGGCCAATGAGCTGGAATGCATGGAGGCACAAGGCCCTCGCCTCACCCACATCCTTCTTGAAGTTCTGACATAACGGCATCCCAAGGGCTTGTCTCATGTTATCTCTCCACCAGACGAACGGGAAGATTGTGGAGACGAAAACAAAAGCTTCAGAGCTTCCCAGCATTTCGGCAAGTGTCGGGGTTGGGGGGTTGGGGGGGGTGGGGTTCAGATTCACTGGAGGCTCTACCTCAGAACTGAGAGTTTTCATGAAAGGTAGCTGCTTCCCTTAACAGGAAGTATGAAGCCGTCAGACTGTGCTGCAGCTAAATGAGCAGGATGATGGT